AGAGGGATCCTAAAATTGATCACTAGATGACAATATGGGAACCATTAGGGGGACTATATCTAAATAAAGTAGTGGGTTTATGAGGTAATTTTTAGACTGAACACTAGATGGCAATATGCAAATCAACAGGGAGGTTTAAAAATAGATTATGGCAACCCAGGGTGGATGACATGATCATACAGACCCCCTGTTGAATGAGTAGTTATTTATGGCATAATAAATAAATGAATTATTATATAATTTGTACAGAATAATTTACTGTTTATATTTGCAATTGATATTGTAAATGTTGTCACTAATCCACACGGCCCAATGTATCAATAAGTGAACCGGAATGGTATGGAATCCATTTTGTTGAAGACCAATTGTAATTGACCAGTCATTGAAAAGGGTACACTATAAATACCTTCGGGATTATGGTGGACCGGAGCTCCTCGAGGTCGACAAGCAGCGAAACATGTAGTCCTTGACGTCACTTCTGGTTTCTGGGATTTAGAACGCATGCCGAGCTCCAGGAAGTGGAATGGCGGTGCTCACTCGATCAGTGTATTGGTGCCAAAATAAATTGTGAAGGAATATATTCAAGAATTCACCCCTAAAATGGGTAATCATATCTAACAATCAACATGGATTTATGAAGGACCTCTCTTGTCAGAATAAACCTACTAACATTCTAGGAAGTGAGAAGCAAGAGAGGCAAGTGGACATGGTTAATCTTGAGTTTGTTAAAGCATTCAGTACAGTTCCCTGCAAATGCTTAATTTACAAGTAAAGGTCCATTTGTATTGAAAGAATTCTATGTACATGGAGAAAACTGGATACAGGAACTCATACAAAGGTCAATGATAAATAACTCAATCTCACTGTTTGCCAATGATACCAAGATCTGTATGGCAATAACTTAACAAGGATACAGAATCTCTACAAGAAGTACATGATTAAATTGAGGGGTGGACAGCTACAGTATATGGCTACAAGTTAAATCTTAAAAAATGCAAAGTTATGCACATAGAGCTAAAAATTAGGATCTACACATTACAATATGATTCCCTGGGGGAATGAGGGATGGAAAGAGATCTGGGGTTACTGGCAGACCATAGCCTCAACATGAGCATGCAATACTAGGTTACAGCTATTAAAGCCAGCTGCCTACTATCATGTATTAAAAAAAGATATTTACTTTGTTTAAGCTTGGGGTGAAACCAACAGGAAGCCATAATGACATTGACCATGTGTCCTTATTAGGTCAATAATGTCATGAGCATCCTGCCCCTTTGTGTACATGTAGCTGTAGGGTGGGGAATGCCCTGACCGCAGTTGATTGGATGGTAGTGGGCAGGATTGACAGCTTCCTGCAGTGCTTGGTGTGAACTCATGTCTGGACCAAATCTGAGCTCATCTTTACTCAACAGATGAAACTATAATTCTACCAGTATGCAATTCAGTTTGTTCACATTCCTCAGGAAACACGTTCTTAAATTAGAGAGAGTTTGGAGAAGGCCAACAAGATTAGTAAAAGAGATGGGGGTCCTAATTGGAAAGATTACAGAAATTAAACTTATGATCCCTGGAAAAGAGGGGCATACATAAGGATATGAGAGCATTGTACAAATGCATCAATGGTGACTGCAGTATTAGGACTACACTATTTTATATATATATATATATATATATATAGCATATATATATATATTTTTTTTTATATATATATATATATATATATACTATTTTAAGGACTCTGAAGAAGACATAAGGCCACAACATGAAGTTGGACCAGAAACCATTTATTCCTAAACTGTGCAAAAGTTTCTTTACAGTCAATGTGGTACAAATGCATAACTCCCTTCCACAGTTAGTAGTTTTAGCTAAGAGCGTAGTTAACATAAAAAACTCTTCAACAAGTTTCTCAGTGACCCACTATATGGGATATGGGAACTTCTAGTGACAGGTACACACACATTTAAATATAGGTTAAACTAGATGCACCCATGTCTTTGTTTAACCGTACCAACTATGTAATCACTCTATCCAAATATTTTCCTTTATTTATACTTGATAGGTAATATATGATTTGAAGGCATCATAATTGCAGAATTTTTGAAATACAAATGCATCATAATTCCAGAAATATTCACTTTATTTTATTTTATTGATTTCTCTTCTTATGAGTTGTATACTGATACAATTTTTTAATAAGGGTACAAAAAGGTAAATTAAGACAAGCACTATTATGTTCAGAAATATACAGAGGAAAGTATACTTTTTTTCCACAATATGTATTCTTAGTAGATCTCATTGCATGTTATCTAACAATCATGTATCAATAAATTGGCAAAATGCTTGATTTGCTTACATTTTTATTTAATGTGTACCTATTTAACAGCTGAAACAGTTGAAAAAATTGGTTGATTCTTAGGTGAATCAATATGGTTGCTGAGGGTAAAGAAAAACAGGTATATCACTGTAAAAAAGCACTTAAATTGTTCTCAGTACAACAAAAAGAAAAATCTTATTTAATATGCCAGGGTTGATTATAAAATGTAGTGTTTGAATAGCACCTGAAGTCCAACCTCAAGCAATATATCTTATTGATCATTGACTAGACATTCCATGGGTCAGTAACCATGATTGATTATTATCTAGAATGGTTAAAGACACTGAAGGAATTAATTCTGACATTGCAACATATACATCTCATCTCTTGAGAATATTGTTCCAATTTTTGGTGTAGGATGATTTTTCTCATCTGTCAGTATCATACATGTACTAATTTAAAACTATTCTGAATATATAGGAAACTTACAGTTAACTACAAATGTGATACAACTTTATATCACACTTTCATCTGTTAGAGCATATTTGGAAAAACGAATGCAAAGTATTGTAGCTAATAGGCTAGATGGTGTGTGATATATTATATAACAGCAGACAAGAATTCCAAATACATAATGAGGCTGACCTGGCATTGTGTTTGGCAGGAATCAAATGAGAACAGAAAATTAAAATCTCTGCAAAATGGACATCAGGCCTTATTATTTATCTTAGCAGTTGGTTAAAAGTTGCTACTGCACAGAAAATGAAACCTACCTGAAATCCTTAACATTTGTAATAAACCTGGTGAAATGATTGGAGGAAAAGGGTGAGTAATGGAGGAAGTTTTGCTCTTTAACATTGTTTGGTTGTTATACTCAGAGAGATCAAAGACCTGTTTCGGCTCTAATTAACAAAAGCAAAAGCAGACAGGAGACCTTCTGGCACTGAGCACAGCTTCAAAATATACAGCTGAAATCTTGTGAAGATTTAAATAATTAATATGACACCTCGAGCTTCGGGTAAGGATTGTGTGAAAAAAAAAATATGCCTCGTGTTGAAGTTTTCAACAAAGCCACAGTCAAGTTCCTTACTATTTATGTTGATGAAAATGAGACAACTAGCTTGGTCTGACTTCATTGTCTACAACACTGGCAGCTTGGTGTGAGTGTTTTTTTTTACTTTTTTTGTCATGCTAAGGGAGGCCTTTGTGTGGTACTCTGTTACTCTTGAGTCTGGTCACAGTGAATATATGTCATGGCCAAAAAAAGGCAAATCTGCTTGAGGGAGGTGGAGAATAGTCATTTAATGGTTTTTAATCCTCTTAATCCAAGTCAAAATGGAGATCGCTGAATGAAAATCCTATCCCAGAAGTCGTTATGATTCAGATGACTGGCTCAAGAGACTGCCTTTTGTAAAATATTGTAGTTAGATATAACATATTTTAGAGAAACAAAGGGAGCTCCGCTCTTTGCATGTGAAAAAGCTATTTTCTTGACACATGAGAAGTTTCAATAAAATTTGTGTACTCAGTAACAATAACAATTCCTGAAAGTCTTAACTGTATGCAAATCTTCATTAGATCAGGCCATGCACTGCTGCCCTTTCCAAGCTGTTTTCTACTCTGATACTGTCTAAGTGACTAATCTGCTATTGAATTTGGATATAGATTCAATCTAAAGTCTTGACATAATCATATCTAATCCTTTCAGCTCAGTTCATTATCACTTCATAAATGTGGATCTCTCTGAGTGAAAAAAAAATCAAAGGATTACATTTGACAACTCTGCATACAAGAACGGAGAGTTAATTTACAAAGCAATATTAAATAGACCCTGGCTTGCAAAAGAGATATATCAAACTGTTCATCCAAAAGTAACTTTGCGAGATGTTAATAGGCTTGAATACCATTGTTTTCAGCTGCCAAAAATAAAAAGAATAATTTTAATAAGACCATGTTAAAATTTGTTAAAAATCTTCAGTATCACAGCAAAGAAAAGATTATAATGACAATGATATGATGACATTGCTATGAATGACCAAATGGCTTAAATATATAATTAACAGCACATTAAATTTAGGCTTCCATTTTGTCTGTTTCAGAAACAATGAGAATGTCCAGTTGATAGTCATTATTTAAGTAGGCTGATGAGGATCACCACCAGTGGTGGATTGTAACCTAGGCAGAGTTGGTGGTTTCCCACATATCCAGACTCCAGGGGGCCCATGGAGAGGCAAAAAACATTGTGGTCTATATTTTGTAAGATACCCAAAGGGGTTTATATACCGTATTTTCCGGCGTATAAGATGACTTTTTTAACTTAAAAACATACCCCAACAATTGGGGGTCGTCTTATACGCCGGGTATAGAACACTGGATGTGCGGTAATACTGTATGGTAGCTTCAGCTACATACAGTGTACCGCGCTGAGCCAATCACGGCGAGTGATGTATTCTATTAATGAATACAGAGCCTGCTCGGATTGGCTGAAGTTGTGACATCATCAGCCCGCCTCTCTGACACAGCCAATCCGAACAGGCTCTGTATTCATTAATAGAATACATCACTTGCCATGATTGGCTCATATGACGTCCTCCCATTCTCCGCGCATGCGCGGTGATGCGCTGTGTCCCTTGGACACAGCTATCACCGATCACAGAAAGAGCGAAGACGTCGGATCGGTCATGTGATCAGCTGTGTCCAATCACAGCTGATCACATGTAAACAGGGAAATGCCGGTTATCGGCATTTCTCTCCTCTCGAGCTGTCACGCTGACAGCTTGAGGGGAGAGGAGAGCCGATAATCGGCTTTCCGCGGAGGGGGGACATGTACACTGATCCTCAGGGCACTGATGATCAGTGTGCCCTGATGATCAGTGTAGCCCCAGCAGTGCCAGCTGTCAGTGTCCATCAGTGCCACATCAATGCCACATATCAGTGCCTACCAGTGCACATCAATGCCACATATCAGTGCCCATCTGAGCTGCCTTTCAGTGTCACCCATCAGTGCCAGTCAGTGCCACCTATCAGTGCTGCCAATAAGTGCCACCTATTAGTGCTGCCAGTCAGTGCCGCCTATCAGTGCCATGTATCAGTGCTGCCTTTCAGTACCCATCAGTGATGCCTGTCAATGCCCATCAGTGCTGCCAATCAGTGCCACCTATAAGTGTGCATCAGTGCCGCCTATCAGTGCGCATCAGTGCTGCCTAACAGTGCCAGTCAGTGCCACCTAACAGTGCCAGTCAGTGTCGCCTATCATTGCCGCCTATCAGTGCCATGTATCAGTGCTGCCTTTCAGTGCCCATCAGTGATGCCTGTCAATGTCCATCAGTGCCACCTAATCAGTGCCTCCCATCAGTGCCATCAGTGCCATTTATTTATGGGTACAGTGTTGCATGACCGCGCAATTGTCATTCAAAGTGTGACAGCGCTGAAAGATGAAAATTGGCCTGGGGGGGAAGTGGGTATAGGTGCCCTGTAGGCTAGGGGTTAAATGGTGTTGCCTCAGAAGGGGGGTAGTCTTATACGACGAGTATAGCCCAAAACCTGTTTTAATTGGAAAATTAGGGGGTCGTCTTATACACCCAGTTGCCTTATACGCTGGAAGATACGGTACTAAAGGAGTATAGACTGTTCACATAAGAAAGTGAAGTTTTATTTTGCGAGAATTTTCCCTTAGCTTAGTGAAAGCTTAGTGACTTCAATTGTCTAATCACGTGCATGCAAAAAAAAATATTTTTTTTTCATTTCCTTGCATGTGACTGGTTATTTTTTGCAAAGTGAATTTTTACCACAGTCATTATGCTAAGTGAAAATTCCACTGCAAAGTGAACATTACTTTGAAAAGTAAACATACTTTACTATTTATTGGATCAATTCCAATATGTATGCATATTTCAAAATATTTTAAAATATACAGATAAGCGAGCGCCTTCCAAAATGACAGCAGCTGTACACCAAAGGCACCATATAAGACCTCCCAACAGATAGTATATAACAGGTGCAGCGCTAATATACAGAAAAATGAAGATCCATATATCTCATGTGGACTCGTATAAAAGTTCAAAGTGACATAGTGCATACAGGTATAAAACACTACTGATGTGTCTGGTAGAACGTGAGGAAAGGATTATATCCAAACAAAAGTTCAAAGTGAGGATGTGAATAAATTCTCAAATACTCTGACATAGCGTCGGAACAGGGCGGACATCTATCCACAAAGCGCCATTTTTCCCAGAGAGAAATGTCCTCAAAGACGGGCGCCATTATGGCGTAGTCCCTGTAACCACGCATGCGCGGAGCATAGCGTCGAAAACAGGGCGGGACATCTGAATGCGATTTCTCACCGAGGGAAAAGTGTTGCCATAGGGGTTTTGGACTAAGAAGGGGACCTGACCAGATCTGACCAGACCTGGATGAGGGATTGGAGATCTTATTTGTTAGAGAAAAGCGCATTAAGGTTGCGCATTTGGTGAGTGCGCAATTTTTACCCCCATTTTTCACCGTTAGACACAGTCGGTGTTGCCTGGAAAGCATCAGAGTATTTGAGAATTTATTCACATCCTCACTTTGAACTTTTGTTTGGATAATAATCCTTTCCTCACGTTTCTACCAGACACATCAGTAGTGTTTTATACCTGTATGCACTGTCACTTTGAACTTTATACGAGTCCCCACATGCGATATATGGTATCTTCATTTTTCTGTATATTATTAGCGCTGCACCTGTTTATATACTATCTGTTTGGGAGGTCTTATATGGTGCCTTTGGTGTACAGCTGCTGTCATTTTGGAAGGCGCTCGCTTATCTGTATATTTTAAAGTTTGTGTTCTTACCTATTTTAGCTGAGCAGCCTTTTGGTCTATATTTTGGTCATAATGACTGATATTTTTGAAATGAGGTCAATGAGACCTGTATACCTGATGATGTATTCACTATTAATGAGGAAGCTGATGATATTAAAGGGATGTTTATACAGCTTCGTAATCTGACCTCAGCGGAGGTCAGAACTCTTTGGGACATATCCTTTTTAGATAGGTACATTAAGGAACAGATGGTTCCCCGTTCCCTGAGATGGAACATCTCCCCCTGAAGTAGGAGATGTGAACGATATATCTGAATGGTCCCAGTACTTTAATTTAGATGGTTTGGATATGCTCAAAATTTCTTATTATACGAAAGAAGAAAAAAATTGAATTTTTTGGATATTGAAATTAATAAAATAAGAGAGAGACTGGTTCCATTTAGGGAAAATGAAGAATACAAATCAGAATCTAATAAACTTATAACTTTTTCTTGATCATATAGAAAAAGAACAGAAACTCAAAAAACGAAAGAAGTACACTCGTGACCATAGGGATTATGCAGATAATAAAATCTTTAAGTGGCCCAAACGAGTACAGAGGAAAATTGGCAGGTGGTTCTCCAGTGCTTATGGATACCACTCCATATATACCTAAACCTAAGAGGAAACAAAAAGGACGGCAGGGTCCTAGACAAAACAGCAACAAGTAACTTATAACTAATATCAGCCACCTGTAAATACACAAGTTAACCATAAATCTAATGTACTGTCGCTAATCGTTTTGAACCATTGAGACACACGTAGCAGATGATAACATTGGGTCCAGAGGTTATGAATGGTTAATCCCAATCAGGGATACAGATACAATCAATTCAAAAAACCTAATAAACCTCCTTATAATAATAACAATAAATTTCCTAAGAGTAACCAAGGGGGAACGTATGGACAAGATAATTAGGATGGCACAGGGTCCTAGGACACCTAGGAATAATGGTGGGTGCAACAATACACTTCACCACATGGGAATAATGCATACCACCCCCCTATAGCAACGAATGTGTCATATCAAAATGATAACCGGAACACTGCCCCGGTTCATTTTTTAGGAGAGGGGAGCTCGCGCAAAAGAAAGCGTTTCAAGCAGAGGAAAAAGGGGAGGATAAAGAGGGTTAATAGACCCAAAAAAGAGGAAATTCTAAAGGGTAAAGGGATTTTTTAATCTGAGTGGTAAAGTTTTGACCCCACAGGAATTAGATCTCCTTGACAAGGGATTAAAATATATGCACCAGATAATAAGTTTGGATAAATTTCGCACGTATATCGACCTACATAAATTTGTTAGATCAATATCATAAAAGAAACATTTTTCCCTAAACCCCATATCAAGGAATACTTCAAATATAACAACGTATTCCAATTTGCATAATGCATCTCTGTTTAATCCTCCACCTCAGTCAACAACATTACATAAATGCTTTCAAAAAGAAACTACATTAAAAGATTTGGCGGCAGTCAAAGTGAAAAATTATAAAAATCATAATAATTTTGAGTCATATAAAGCTATGGATTCTTTACTGAATCGGAAAGATTTAGTTATAAGGACCCGCCGATAAGGGAGGGGGGGTTGTAATTTTGAGCAAGGATAATTATATTAAAGAAGTTTATAATATTCTTGAGGACAAGGATACGTATTGTCCTTTGTCAAAAATCCTCTGATAATGTATAAGAAAGTTTTTAAAAAACATTATTGGCAGGGTTACCAGGATAATATAATAAATAAGAAGGAAAAAGAGTTCCTATGTCCTTCAGCCCAAAATTACCTATAATGTACATTTCTCCCAAAAGTGCACAAAAATCCTGAAAATCCCCGGGTAGACCTATTATCAGTGGTGTTGGGTCTTTGTGCTCAAAAGTCGGTGAATACATCGATTATTTTTTACAGCCGCTGGTACGGAAAACTCCCTCATATCTGAGGGATACTAAACAGGTCCTGCAAGATATAAAAGATCTTTCTGTAGATGACAATACATTTTTAGTCACTGCTGATGTCACGTCTCTTTATACCAGCATAGACCATTCAGAGGGCATGCAGGCTGTTAAATTTTATCTTGATGAGTCAGTTTTAACAGTTTTACACCAGAATTTTATTTTGACACTTTTGGACTTCGCCATGACCAGAAATTATTTCTGGTTCGATGGTTCTTTCTATCTGCAAAACAAGGGGTTATCGCTATGGGAGCCAAGTTCGCTCCGAGTTGGGCAATCTATTTATGACCAGATGGGAGGAGGATGTCGTGTATGCCAGAGATTGGCCAGGAGTTATATTTTTACAAACGATACATTGACGACATCCTCCTGATATGGAAAGGAGACGAACAAGCCCTAATAAATTTTTTTGGGACACTTAATAACAATACCTTGAATATCAGATTAACATTTGAATACAGTAAGACTAATATCAATTTTTTGGATTTGACATTAATGAATTTGGATAACAAGATTGTAACTTCATCTTTTTTCAAATCTGTAGATAGGAATGGGTATATTCCCCGTAAATAGTTGCCACCATCCTTTGTGGCTTTTCAAATATACCGAAAGGACAATTCCTTAGAATAAGGCGAAATTGTACCTCTGTGGACACTTACCTATCCCAGGCTGAGATTTTGAAGAACAGATTTTTGGAAAAGGGATATGAAGAAACGCACCTTACCCAGATTATCCATAATGTAGCGCATATGGATAGAGAGGCATTATTAGCTGGTAATACCTTTAAAGAAGCCACCAAAAGTTTGCCCCTTCATAACTACATTTTCCAGACAATACAAAATGATTTCTAAAATAATAAATCAAAACTGGAAAATTCTTAAAGCAGATCCAATTCTAACCAAGATTCTGCCGGATAAACCAGAAATAATATATAGAAAGGCACAGACTTTGAGAAATCTCATTGCCCCAAATGTTATCAATCCTCCGCAGACTGTATCTTTATTTGGGGATATAAAAGGTTTCTTTCCCTGTAATAGGTGTGTCATATGTACTTGTAATGGTAAAAGGAAACAAAAAATTGAGGACTTTACCTCCACGGTTACAGGGAAAACCTTTAAGATCAAGAACTTTATTTCCTGCAATAGCAGGCATGTTGTTTATCTTTTGCAGTGTCCCTGTAAGAAACAATTATATTGGACGCACGACCAGGAAACTTAAAGATAGACTTAGGGAACATGTTAATAATGTGAAGAAGGGTTTTAAAGATCACTCACTTTCTATGCACTATAGA